TTTACTACATAGTAAATTACACACATCACCTCTTTTTGAGTAGTTTTTCCACAGTGAAAAAACAAAGCACTTGACAAGCATGACTTAATGGCCATTTAAAGGCAGATGCAGAAGCAGAAATACATACAATTTGAATGTGCTTTGCTGATAAAAGCCTGTGCCCTATTTACTTTTTTATATATTTAAAATGAGGGTGAAATCTTCAGCTCCCAGCTTGACAGTCAGTTACAAAGAGCAGAAGTCACCTTAACATTTCCTCTGGAGGGTATTATCACTGTGCTCCAGTATCAGCAGAGGGTAGAAACACATGTGCTTTATCAAACTTTGACCTTTATACTTCAAGTCAAAAGAATACTGAACAAGGTTAGTTTCCCTATCCAGTATGCACTTTCTATAGCTATGAAAGTGTTCACAGAATTTTTTCTGTGGATTTCATTTATGTTTGAATGAAATATGTTTGGGTCTATCCTGGTGACTGCAAGAAAACAAGGCCGGGGGCATTTCCTCAAATGCTAAAAGGAGGCATCACCATCACTACCACTACCATCACCATCACCATTACTTGCTAGAGGATTTATAAAACATCGTGAAGCTCAAAGTTATTATGGGAGATGAGTCAAGTTTTGGAGGCATTAATATAGGGTAAAGGGTAATATTTTTCCAACTTTTAATCAAGTGATACAAGAAAATATAGTCTTTCACATGAGTAAAGCCTAGTGGACAGTAGTGCTGTCTGTTCTACAATGATGACATTTGAGTTTGTTTATTTTCTTTTATGCCAGTGAGATTTGAAATTGGAATTAAAAATCCTTAGGGGGAAAAAGCTATTTTTGTAATTTGGCTGGAATTTGTCTTTGAGTTTCCCATTGCATCAACTCATTACCCTGGTATGGCCGCCATGATAGCGTTTTTTCTTTTAGATGCAATGCAGAACTAAGGACATAACTACTTGTGTTTATTAAAGATTTCTTGCTATTATTTTCACAAGAGTAGGGGCATTGGACTCTTGTCTACTGGCCAAATTCTAAATTAGGAGATTACATTCTGCTTTCTTAAATTGATGGTATCTTTACTTCCTGTGTTCAAGTATTCAGTGAGTCATTAAATGGCTCTGATTTTCTACTCTTGAAGTGATTACTTTTTATTTTTATTTATTTATTTTATTTTGTGGAACCGGGGATTGAACTCAGACCCTTGCGCTTGCCAGGGAAGTGCTTATTCTACTGAGGCATCTCCCCTGCCCTGAAATGATTACTTTTTAGTGGGGTGGGGAATACATTGGTATCTACTGTTTAATATTATATTTGATCCAGTTTCTCTCCTGCCCTACAGCTTTTGTGAGATATAATTGATAGGTAACTTTGTGTATATTTGGATATATTTCAGATATACAACTTGATGTTTTCATATTTGTATACATTGTGAATAATCAGCATAATCAAGCTAATTAATATATTCTCATGTAGTGACTATTTTCTTTTTAAAAACTTATTTATTGGGCTGGAAGTCTAGTCTAGTGGTAGAACACTTAACCTATTGTGTGTGAGGCTCTGGGTTGGATCCCCAGCTCCACCCCAAAATTTACTTCTGTTCTTTTTTTTTTTTTTTGTAGTACTGGGGAATGAATTCAGGACTCTGTGCTTGCCAGGCAAGTGCTTATTCTACTGAGCTATCTCCCTGGCTCCTTATATTCATTTTTAATTGACATAATATCATTTGTACTTATTTAAGGGGTAGAGTACTATAATTAGATGCATGTTGACAATGTGTAATATTGATCCAATGTCAAAAGAAAAATATGCTGTGAGGGCCAGCCAGATAGCTCAGGAGGATAAAGAACCTGCTTAGGCAGGCACAGGGACCGGGGTTTGATCCTGGTGTGCCTTGCTGGCCCCACCCCTGGAGTGCTCTGAGAGGCTATTGAGACTGGGCATGGTGGGGATGGGTGGGTGAGACAGCTCAGTAGTATAAAGTGCCTACTTAGGTAAGCTTAGGCAAGCATTCAAGGACTGTGGTATGATTCCTGGCACAACATGCTGTACCAGCCTCACTCCACAGGTGGGCTGAGTGGGCCACAAAAAAAAGAGCCTGGGTGTGGTGGTGTGCACCTACAATCCCAGCACTTGGGAGGCTGAAAACAGGAGGATCACTATGAGTCTGATCTCCATAGTGAAACCCTGTAGACCCTGTACTAAACACACAAAAAAAAAAGAAAAAGAAAAATACACTGTGATATATAAAGGTGAAGTACAAAAACTACAAAACAAAACAGCCTAATGATGTAACAGGCGTTTGTGGTGCTTTCATTTTTAAAATTTATTTTTATTTATTTTTTAAATTTATGTATTTGGTACAGTGTCTCACTACTCACCTTGGACTCGTGCTGATCCTCCTGGTTTCAGCCTCCCCAGCACTGGGATTTCAGGCATGGGCCATCATGCCTGGACTTGGTGGCTGGCTCAAGATGCCCATGGGTGGGGTCGGAGTGGCATGTGGTGACTGGGATCAAACCTCCGTCCCTGCACTGGTGCTTCCATGTTTTAAAACCAGTTTGCTGGGGCTGGGAGATAGTTCAACAGACTAAGCGCTTGCCTGGCAGGCTCAAAGACCAGAGTTTGATCCCTGCAGGGTGCGATGAGCTGGTTACTAAAACCTGGCATGGTGGCGCATACCTGTAATCCCACTGCTAAGGAGGCTGAGACATGAGGATCACTATGAGTCTGAGCTGCATAGCGAAACCCTGTACCAGATAGATAGATAGATAGATAGATAGATAGATAGATAGATAGAAAGATAGACAGATAAAAAGATTTTTTTAAAAAGATGTTTGCACCAGGCCAGCGAGATAGCTCAGTGGACTAAGAGCCTGATTTGGCAAGTGCAGGGACTAGGATTTGAGCCCTGGTCCTGCAGAGCCCTGGTCCTGCATACTGCACTGGCTCAGCCCCCAGGGGGTGCTGAGCCAATGACTGAGCCCAGGCATGGTGGCCCATGCCTGTAATCTCAGTGCTGGGGAGGCTGAAAACAGAAGGATCGCTACAAGTTGGTGCTGCATAGAGATACACTGTACCAAATACATATTTTTTTTAAAAAAAGCAGTTTGCTTTCTCCTTTGCAACATAGAGAAAATAATTAATATACTTTTCACTCCAATAGTAGCTGAGAATGAATTGTTACTTAGTTAAAACATAAGATTAGCTCTAACAGTGATGATAAGCTTTGAGGAAATGAAACTACATACCTCAAACAAGTTAAACCATCTCCTTTTTCTCTAGTCTGCATCTAAAACATTCCAGAGAGTTGATCTATTTTATAAGACATTGTTGGGAGGACATTGTTTATTTTTCCTTAGTAACAGTATTTCTCAATCTTTCCATAAAAACTAAGTTCTTCTTTTTGTTTAACCTCAGTTACATCTACTTTAATGTCAGTATGTTTTGTCTATCACCAACCTTGCTATTATGTATTGCTATTAAGGGGCAGTGTGAGATAATGGCATAGGTTTCAGGACTAGACATACCTGCATTTTAATTCTGGATCTGTCACTTTCTATGTGTGTAATGTTAGACACGCTATTTCTGAGGTTTAAGTGAGCATTTTTGGAGACTTATTATGAAAATCAAATGAGATAATGTATTATTTTCAAGGACTATGGGGTAGGATAAGGCATGATGCTGGGTATCCAGAAAGTGCAACAAATAGTTGCTATTTTCCTGGATATGTACACAGATCTGACTTAATTTATAAACCCCTTGAGAGTGGGAGGTGTATTTCCTGTGTATGCTTTGCATTTCAACAGAAGTGTAGTGTGCACATAGTATGGGACAGATACTCAGTATTGCTGAATGAACAAGCTGTGTTTTTCCATTTTCCTTCTGAGTAAAATGAACAGCTCCCAGCTATTTGCAGGATCCCACACATTTAGATCAAAGGTGTCAAAATCAATCTTCTGCTGTTTACAAATAGTCAGATACTTGACTTTGTTGAGATATTTCGGCATGATGTAAATGACACAATGCAAATAACATGCTTTCTATGGGGTTCATTTCCATGAATTTTAACATTTGATTATTGTCACTTTTAAAAGCAGCATCTTAAGCCCCCAGAATGGGACTGACTTACTCATATGCCTCTTCATTCATTCAAGTGGGTTTTTCTTTATTCAGAAATTTGAAAAGAACTATCTAATTATATACCTGAACAAAATCTTGCAATTTGTGACTTGGTACACTACCTGCCCTCTCTTTCAAATTGCTTTCCCAAACCAAGAGCCAAAACCCCAAATGAGAAAAGCCTATTGCTGCAAGTCTTAAATCACAATCATCATCTCTGAACGTGTGTGGTTGGGGTTAGGATTTTGTTTTTGGCTTTTAAACATTTTCATGGGAGTAGGAGGAGAATTTGGGACAGCCACTATAAAAACCTAGATAAAACTTGGTTTTAATATTGTTGATTAGGAGAGTACTGCATTTTTGTCATACTCAGAAAAACCCTGGTGTCTGCTTGGGCTGGTACTGAAGACACCTCAGCTTGGCCATTGCTTGGTCTTGGTAATCCTTTATAGGGACAGTCTCAGGTGTGGATCACAGAGGAGCACCTTCTTGTTCACACTCCCAACAGTTCACAGACCAGCATATTTGAGGCCGGGTGGCTCAAGTTCCATCTAAGTGGGCTCAAGTGTCTGTCACTAACACTACGTGCAGCTGAGGCCATTCAAGCTGTGCTCTGGGACTTGGGTGCTTTACTTCTGACTTTTTTCCTCTCTTTTCCCTCAACACTAGTTTCCCATTTCCTCCTTCCTCTGCAGGCGTGCCTACCTCCTCATCTTACTCCCACTTTCCACTGTCTTGATCTCTTTCATTCACCTTTTCTTTTTGGCTTTCTGTCTTCCATACTCTGGGGCCTCAGGGTTTGGCTTCTGAGGAGGCGTGCGGAGGGAAGGACTGGCGCTAGGCGCTGAGCCTTGAAATCTCCTGGCGCGCGCCGCTGCGGGAGCGCGCGCGAGCAGCCGCGTGGCCAGGCAACCCAGCCAGGGAGCGGCGCGCGCGCGTCCCGCGAGCCCCTAGCGCGCCCCCGGCGGCCGGGGCCGCAGCGTGCTCGCCCCCGCCACCAGCTCGCTTTACTTATGGGTCGGAAGCGCTGCGTGGGGGAGACTGTTCCAAGATGGCGGCGGGTTGCTGTGGGGTGAAGAAACAGAAACTGTCCAGTTCGCCCCCCTCTGGTTCGGGTGGCGGTGGTGGCGCCTCCTCCTCCTCCCACTGCAGCGGAGAGAGCCAGTGTCGAGCTGGGGAGCTGGGACTAGGAGGCGCCGGTACTAGGCTCAACGGGCTGGGAGGTCTGACCGGAGGAGGCAGCAGCGGTGGCTGTACCCTCTCTGGCCCCCAGGGCTGCGGTGGCGGCGGCGGCGGCGGGGGCATCTCGCTCGCGCCACCTTTGAGCTGTGGAGTGGGGACCCTACTTTCTACCCCAGCCGCCGCCACCGCTCCCTCGCCGTCCTCTTCGTCCGCCGCCTCGTCCTCATCACCGGGCTCCCGGAAGATGGTGGTGTCAGCGGAGATGTGCTGCTTTTGCTTCGATGTGCTGTACTGTCACCTGTACGGATACCAGCAGCCCCGTACCCCCCGGTTCACCAACGAGCCCTAGTGAGTACTGTGCCCTCCGCCGCCCTCTCCCTTGCGCTCGGGATGGGGCTCAGAGTTGAGGCAAAGTGCGAGTCCGCCTCCCCGCCGCCGCCTGCCCCTACCCCTCTCCCTGAAGGGTCTCCGCAGCCACTCAGCCTCAGTGAGGGCGCCCCTCACTTTCTGTCCCGCGAGGCAGGCACCCCGCACAAGAGATGGCTCCCTGGCTTCCAGAAGTGTTCGCTTTCTCTTTGCAGTAACTTCGAGGAGTTTTGACCTCTTCCTTTTCTCCTTACCACCCCACTCAACCCCATGCTGCCCCGCTTTTGGAGATCTGGATCATTTAAGGCTCTGACCTCTCCTCACTTCGGTTTCCATTACCCCATGTGAAAGCCTCGCCAGTATTCCCGCTCTGTACCTGTACGTACAGAGCTACTATCTCATTGCATTGAAAAATAGCAACTATTTAACTTCTGTTCTGCTAGTGATGGAACTTGGCTCCGGAGCTTGAGAAGATTACCCATCTTTTTCTCCGGGATTTCCTTGTGCCCCGGGGATTGGGAAGATTTTTAAAACATAGTTTCTCTTACTACCTATTTTTTATCTGAAATACCCATTAAAATGTGTTTCTGGTGAAGCGAGTGCACCGCCGGTTTCTTCACATTTAAAGAGCGAGATCCCCCTCCCCCTTATTTCTACTGTCTGGGTAACAGCTCATTCAGTGAGAGCTGTCCCCACAGAGCCACTGTCAGTTTGTACATTAAGTGTGCGTTTGCTTTTGTGTTGATTTCACTTCCAAGAAATCTGTGTTACACTCAGTGATTTGAGAGATTAGCTATCCAACAATAAATGTGTAGGAATTTTACGGTTTTCTTTGCATTTTGTACTTTACATTATTTTATCCTTCAAATGTGTAGCAGAAATTATTTAAAATACTCTTCTTACAGCCAAAAGCCAGATTAATTCTGATTCCTGCCTGTTTGGATGTGTGGGAGATGGGGCATATGGTTTTTTATAAAATGTGTAAGCTGAGTGTAAACTGACTTTTTGAGTTAAATGCTAGACAGAATGTAAAGACCAAAACAGGGCAAAATGGGGAAAAGGATGGTTGTTTTTATTATGAATACTTAGCATGAAGAAAAAAATAGAGAAAAAATTAAGTGGAACTCAGTGAAAATCATCAAGTTTTCTACTTATGACAGGTATCCCTGGTTTCTTAGAAATGCTTGAATTGATGTTTTGTTTAAAATTCTTTCATTTCATTTTGTGAAATTGGGGATTGAACTATTGGATAAGTATTAACAATTTCTGCATAGATTAAAATATTAAATTAATATGTAAAGTGGAAAATACAATAAAGTGTCCTGGAAATTGTGTATTTGTATTGTTTGTTTTCTTTGACTTTGGTACTGTAAATGTTTTGTTTTTTTTATTTTGTATGACCCTTTTGTGGTCTATGCATTTTTTTCTAGGCTTGGTTCATCTTTGGGCATTGGTTCATGAAAAATATTTGAAAAGGCATCTAGGCAGACACTTGTTAAAGAAATTGACTATCTTCCTAAATTTCATAGTGTTAATTCTAAGAGCTTAAATCCTAAGTCCACACTTTGGCCAATTTCTCTTTTGACTAAGAAGTAAAATTCATTTTGAAAAGACTGCCATGTAAAAACATTCTCTGAAATATTTATTAGCTTGAGTCACTTATTTGTGACTTTTCTGTCTTCTTCTGTGTGTCTGTGATGTATTAAAGCTATGTCTGGATGATACTTAAGTTGGCTCTGCAAAGTCATGGGACTGTAAACATTCACTCTTGTTCACTTCTTGAGCTGTTACATGAGTTTGTCAGAGGCTGTCCTACAATTCATGCTCCATGGCTTCAAAGTACATGAGAACACACTTTCCAGAGGTGCTATTTTCACACATTTTAAAGTGAGTTTGGATTAACTGAGTGACTATGACAAGAATTTTAAGAGGAAAGGGAGCTTGACCAGTTCATACAGAAAACTGCCTCTGAAAATATTTTCACAGCGGCCACTTTGCACACATACTCAGGTATTTGTTTCTCTTCTTCAGCCATTGGATTTCTTTTTCAAGGAATTAAGCAGATGAATAAGACACATTGTTGACTACTGTATGTTGAAATGGTGGTGGAAGAATAATAACTATTATCTTCTGGTAGACCTTCAGTGTGTCATGTATTTTCGGGAATAACAAATTTAGAGTGGACACTGAACATGACCAAGCAGAGAATGAAAGTTCACTTAAGTGAAAAGACTGTCTTATTTCTCTCTCTCTCTCTCTCTCTCTCTCTCTCTCTCTCTCTCTCTCTCTCTCTCTGTGTGTTTGTGTGTGTACACATGTGATACTGGGCATTGGACCCAGGGCCTCCAGACTGAACTACATCTCCAGCCCTTTTAAAATGCTTTATTTTGAGACAGGTTTTGCTAAATCACTATGTTGTCCATGCTGGGTCTGAGCGTGTCATCCTTTTTTCCCAGACAACTGGGATTACAGGCATCAGTCACCATACCTGACTTATTTTTCTTATGCTCATTTTTGCAGTGTACCATGTAATATTCAGGAAAATTTCTTGATTATGGCAGTGAGATAACTGCAGTTATTTAACAATATCTTAGTAACATTACACATTTTCTCTAATGTTTTCATTAGTATTATGTGCTTATTAGTTTGGCATTTTGTTAGGTATCTTAAACCATCAGTAGATAGCCAGAGCAGTGGTACAATTCTATAATCTTACCACTCTGGAAAGCTGAGTCAGGAGGATCACAAGTCCGAACCCAGCCTGAGGAATATAAAGACTTAGCAGACCCTGTCTCAAAAAAAATAATGATAATAATTTAGAAGATCTGGGGTATGTAGTTCAGTGCCAAGGCCTTGGATTCAGTCCCTAGCAACACACACACACACACACACACACACACACACACACATTGATACACATACTGGGCTTTTTCTCTAGGAGTTAATTAATGTTGCATCATGAGCAGTATGTTTGAGATCCTGTCTTTCCATCAGAAAATGTTTTTGACAGTGTCAGATTCTCATATATAAAAGCATACCATTTTCATTCCTTTCCAGGACCTTTCTGCTAGAATATCTAACTAGTGAAATCTGCCTTTTATCAGTTTAGAGTTTACAGATCCATCATTTTACCCTTCTACTCTGAAAAGTTGTTAGAAATTTCAAGTCATCTATGTGATTTCAGTATTGGAGGACATGTCAACATATGAACAGGCCGTATAAGATTCTTCATTGTTATTGTTGCTGTTTGAGTACCTACTCCATTGGGTTGTCCACAGAAATAAAGTTCAAGACATGGGAACTGTACGGCGCTGTGGAATTTTATTATTGAAAAATCAGAGCTCTTGGATTTATATGGGTGGGACCACTGATAGCCATTTTATAAGAACCTGTTTGTAACTATATAAGGAACTGATATGCTAGGTGGTGAGCCAGATTTCAAAGCAGTCGTTTCCGACCTTGGGTTGCATATTAGAGTCACTGGAAAGTTATTAAAAATAGATATGCTTGGGTTCTGAGCCCAGAGATTCTGATTTAATTGATCTTGTAGGGACCTGAGAATCAGGATTATTAAAAGCTCTTTAATGTGTAGTTGGGATGGAGAACCAGTGATTATCTTCTAGGTGTTTCTCTGGAGATTCAAGTTAATTTTGTCTGTGGTGATGCCATGGAGTCCGTACTTTATAAGCAGCATGGGTAATTTTGGTAAACAACTGATTTGGGAAATGCTTACAGTGTGGTCTATAGAAGACATCACCTGGGAACTGTTTAGAAATGTAGGCTCTCAGGCCTTAGACCTGCTGAGTTAGAATATACATTTTTAACAAGTTCCCCAGGTGATTTTTATGCACTTTAAAGTTTTAGGAGGCCTGGTTTTTAAGTCTTAGTGTACCTAGTAATCATCTATAGTGTCTGTTAAAACACAAATTGCTGGGCCTCTTTCCCAGAGTTTCTGATTCAGTTGGTCTGGGGTGGGGCCACGAATTTGCATTCTAACAAGCTCCTTGGTGATGCTACTGTTCCAGGGCCACTGTTGGGAAACAATGGGTAGAGAGAAGTGAAGATCTGAGTAAGTGCTTGAGGGACTGTCTGGGAATTTCAGATTTGCCTGTCAGCTTCCAGTATAAAACTTCCAGCTTCTGCATCTGTTTTTTACAATGCTCATTATAATGTACTACCTGGGACATAGAGTGATTCCAACAGTACAAGAATCCAAGATTCTGGGCATGGTTTAAGTTCGTGATTGGGAGTAGAGGATGGAGGATAGGGTGACTCTTGGAAAACTGGTAGGATTTTAAGTCTTTTTTACAGAAATTGTTTTATATGAGAGGTACATTTCAAGAGTCAAACCCATCACAAATGGGATCTTTAAGTGAATTATATTGATTTTAGTAAAGCTCTCTTATTTTCATAAGGAATACTTTTATGATTAGGTCACTAAATATGTTGTGATAAGATTTTAAAAGCTTTTATTTATACTTGTGCTTACCTGATTTCATTTTAAGAAATTCCCTTATTAGTCAAGAAATACAAAAGGATGCCATTTACGGCACTGGGATTGTTCAGTTTTGTATCTTTAATGCTGTGCTGCATGTCTGTTCCATGAACTTTCTCTGTATGTGTATGCCTATATATATATATGTATGCATTATTTGAGTGTATTGTTGGGGAACACTATAAAAGAACTCTACCACTGAGCTACATCCTTAGCCCATGTTTATTTTTGAGACAGGGTCTAGCTAAGTTGCCAAGGCTGGACTCAAAATTGCTATCCTCTTTTCTCGGTCTCCTGAGGAGGTAGGATTACAGGTGTGTGCCTCCATACCCAATTTGAACTTTTAATTTTAATCATTTTAGCATTTTTGAAATTCATCTCTTTTTGGTGTGGTGCTGGGGATTAAATCCAGGTCCTTGTGCATGCGAGGCAAGACCTCTACCACTAAATCACATCTCTAGAATACTAGAATTTTTGAAATTAATAT